TGAAATTATGGCATTATTTTAAAATTACAGTGAACACTTTTAGTATTGGACTTTGGTCAGAAAGCTTGTTTTTCATATATTCATTTCTTTTAATTAATTTTAATACTAATTTATGTATTTCACTCTTACTTTATGAATGAACATCTGTTTGTAATTGTGATTTTGCGTTAAAATATACTCGTAGTATCAATTATACATACTCATATATTATAATGGTGCTATAGTAACTGATGTGATCTAATTGACTTTTATATGAAAGCTTTGTCTCTTCCAGTTTTATTCTAAAAAATAGAAAATATTTTTATTTCGTTAGTAATGAATAGGTTGAAAGTATATTGAAAACCAAGTCAGCATCATTTTCACGAGACTTTCACAGTCTCATTGTTTATAATAAAAATCTATTAAACGTTACGAAGAAAAATAAATATTTTCTATGAAAAAAATTGAAGAGTATTTGGGTTTTAGAGATTGAAGAAATAAATATCGATTGAGTTTTTCGTTGAATTTTTATTGCTGAAGAATGTTACATTATTTCCTGTGTACTTAAATGCAAACTTATGTATACTTTCTAACATTCTTATGCATTTATCGGAATCAATATTTTCGAAAAATATAATATCGTATCAAAAGTTCTTTAAGATCTTTTTAATGTGATGTTTAAAAAGTCCATTTCTGACATACGGCTGTGTAGTATTAACAATTAGGGCCCCAAACCGCATGTAGTTCATAATCTTTGAATTAAAAATACTAAGGAAAATTTATAACACCATTAAAATCAGTAACAACAACAAACTGGTACAGCTCTTCCACAATCTAATTGTCATCCATTTTGGGAAAGCACAGCATATATGATGGCTGAGCAGAGTTGTCGAAAAGCAAAATGACAGCCAGCTTAAACAGCACCCAGAAGGCACTTAGAATTGTTTTAGGGGAAGTGAAAGATTTTACAGGACTTTAGAATCATGAACATTATAAATTACAAATCAAGTTCACCAGTATATAAGAGCTATACTATGAAGGAAGTTCTGAACACACTGGATTCTAAAAGCTGAAAATGATTATATCAATTATAATTGGTTATAATAATCAGTAATTAGTTAGAGATCATAAAATTATAGGTAAATCGACTATGCTTTATGCAACATTTTGCATTGTGTACAGAAAATTTTTCACTTTTTGTATGACGCCAAACAAAAACTAATCGTACGATTTGCGTTAAGCTTTGCCAGAAAGTCTATAAGACTGTTGCCAGCGTGAAAATAAAAAAAATTACCGATTGGATAAGCGCGGGAATTCAAAAATAGGCCTCGCGTTCTTTTTTGATCAGAAGGTATAACCAAAAAATGTAATTTCTTTTCTGGGTTTCATAAAAGTAAATATTCGAAACATTGAATGGATTCGAAATGTATTCAAACACATTGTGTGCAGTGTCATTCTTTTAGTGTTTTGAGAAAACTGTTTAATATTTCGGTATTTAGATCTGATTGGATCTGACAGTTGTTGCTCCAATTATTAGTAGTAAGTCTACCTTCATAGATGCAGAATTTTTCTGTCAGACTAAATCAAAATTTAGAAACATGGAACGATTTGGAACAAACCGTTCATTTGGGTTAACAATAATAAATGCTGACCTGTGTCTTCGTCCAAATATGTGAACATAGACAGATTAATCACAGTTTTTTCAATTGGACATATGTAGGTCCGAATATGTCGTTCATATTCTAAAAATATAATTAATTGATACTAAGATATTACATATTCCGTGAAATACAGATTTAGAAATGCGTCCATTTTACCTGTTTATATATTATGATTATCAGAAAATAAATCCGCTTATTTTATCTGTTTGTCTATGAGAAATATTCGAAAATGGGCAAGTATCTTTCTCTGCCCTTCATTAAAACTAAAGAAATTTTAAAGTCATGAAGCGAAAGATTTCTTAGTTGAGTTGTACTAATGCTGTTTTAAAAATAATATTAGCCAGATCAGAATGTATTTAGCATATTTTTAAAAAGTATATATGGTACATAGCTTAAGAGTAATTAAGAGAAAATACATTGATAAATATAAAAGTTTTCCAAACAAAAACATGTGAATTTCAAGGTACTCAATAAATTGCAAATAGAGTGAATGCTTGAATCTAAAAGTAATTCTAACATCTCCAATGAAGGATATAAACATTTTTGTTATGTATATGCTATTATTCTAACAGCCGTACATATTATACGCAATTCCTATTTGTGTTATATAGAAAATTTGTAAATAGCAAAGGAAATAGAGTGAATGCTTGAATATGAACGAATGTATTTCGAATAGAGTAAATGCTTGCGACTTAAAAGATTTATTACGAATGTGTAACAAAGCAGAGCGTAGTAATTAAGTATAAAAAAGCAAATAAAAATTCAAGTGACTTATAAGTTGAGTAAATTTTTGAGGATATGTGTACGATATACACCACCGTCACACTCTTTTGATATATAAACGCTTTTGTCTTATTGAAGCATATCAAACGACTTCAATATCTAGATATGTGGCGTGGGAGTTTATCGAGGAACTGTTTTCAATTTTACCATGGTCAATCGGAACATCAACAAAAATTAATCGATCTTTTACTGTAATCATTAAATTGAAATAGAAACCAAAGTCTTAATAGATATAAACATTTATTTTGATTGTTTCTGCAGATCTTAGGAAAAATGTTGTACTTGTATTATTTTTCGTTATTATTGCTGAAATAAATTATAGAAATTATTACCAATTAAAAAATCATTTTGCTAACAATGACGTTGTTTATTTAATATTTTCAATAAATAATGCAAGTGAGCTGTTGCTGTTGTTGCCTTGCCTGCCTGCCTGGTCTGTGGGGTCTGCCTGGCTTTTTCAAAACGCAATATTTTCATCTTTAGCAAATTTCAATTGAATGAAAATTTGCCCATGTTTTGATATATTGATCAATTCAAGAACTCGAGCGTCTAACTTTTTAAGAAAAAAATCTAGAAATAATGAATAAAGATATATAAATATATCTCTTCTTGTTCCACTACACGCGACTCTTGCAATTTTTCGACACCAATGTGACATTGAAAAAATAAACCTAAAATGTGTGAAAAATGTGTTGGTTTCTGGTGTTGCGGTGAGGTATTTTCGTTGATTCCTAGTGCCTGTTGCAAATGGGCCAGAAGCACTAGGTGATTTAAATTTAATTGAGCATTTAGTGTTGTGTCGTAAGAGAAAAGCAAATCCAACAATAACAGCAGCAAATATAAAATTTTCCTAATCTTTAAATGAAATATAAATATATATTAGTGGTTGTCAATCAGTCGTCAGCACGATAATAACGAAAGATGACGTTATTGCCGATTCCCTATGTTGGTGACAGTGGTGGTGGCATTGTAGATGTTTATGCAAATTTCGGCTTTTATAGGAGACTGTCAAAAAATGTTGTAGAATATTGTTTTTATATGATATTTTAATCCACTTTGTTTAAATATGATTTTAACCTTTTTAAAATTAAAACAAAAACAATGAAATAGAATTATTTATATACGTTTAATAGAATTATCTGTGTACTGGTTTGGTGTCTCCGGAAAAATGCAAAATCCCTTTATATATCTTATATTTCATGGATATCCATGAAATAAATAATGTTAGATAAGGGAGACCCTTGTCATTGAAATGGTGTTGAAATAATAAACCCCAAACTGTGTTTAAATTATTTTAAAACCTAAACATATAGGTTTAAAAATCAAACCCTGTATGGTCTTCTGTTAAAAGGCTATTGGGTATATTGTCAAGTAAGTAGATAAATACAAATCCTATTAGACATTGATATAAACAGAGTAAGGTATCCTTATTAGAGATTGAAATACTGGTGGTTATTTAAAATTAAAATGTGTGATAAATTGTAGAAGCATTATTATATCGAATTTAATGATATTTGAAAACTTTTTCAATACTAGAGTCTTTAAGATCCCAATTTGTTAGAAAATAGCAATAAGGCCTTTTTGTTAAGCTATAATAAGCCGAAACCATACGGGAATTATCATATTATTGTGGTGCTAATGTTCGGAAACAATATGTGGTGAGATTTGGGATGGAGTCGAATGAAGTCATGAAAATGGGAAATTATGTGGGTGGAGATGAGTAAATGGAATCTTATCTGTAAGATGGTTCTGAAACTTTGTGACAGATCAGTTAAGTCTAATACTTCTTTCTATCAATACAGAAGCATTATGAGTATGGCTTCAGTATTATTGGTTTCTGTTGCATTGGTACGTTTAACAATGATTACTTTAAAAGCCTTGTGATAATTTTGTTTTTTGACAAGTAGAGAATGTCTTCGCACTGACCATGATCTGGCGCCCTGGAAAGTGAGTATCCGGCTCACACGGACTAAACTCCATTGCACTCATTAATAAAGAGCTTGTCTTACACCGGGACTACATTAATATTTCTTCGAGGTAGGGTCGCTATTAGTCGTTTAAGACTTCTATGGACTTTCATAAGACTACATTCGTCTTGGTGTAATACATCTGCTTGCTCCAGCTGCCTTCTGTCGATATCTACTTTTATTAACCACAGAAACGGTGTGGTACCTAAAGATATCCTCAAAGCTGCTGTTCGTTAGACTGACAGTAACACTTTTTTGCGATATTGTGCTTGTAGTGCTTCTGCTCATAACTCTTTTCCATATAGGAGAATGGAGTTCAATGTCGTTAAAAGGAGTTATCTATTGCTCTGTGTGGGTCCTCTTATGTTTGACATAAGTCTACTTAATGCTGTTAACGCTTCCACAACCTGAGCCTAGAATGTTAGTTAAGAGTTAATATATTTGATTTAAATTATTTAAATTTTAAGTCATTGCTTGTTACACTTAATCTGTTCAAAAGGAATGTTTCAGTTGTTTATGGTGTTTTTGTATAATATTTCTCTCTAAAAAATAAAATATAAACCAAATTTATTTTAAATACTTAAACAATATACCTATGTCTTCGTTTCAGAAATGGATATATCTCCACCTATAATAGATAACATTCGAATTTGCCTAGTTGGTGATGTAGTGAATGACGCTGAGCTTGTTGAAGTTGCTCGTAGCTTTAATGTACCCGTATTGACATCAGAAAATGGCCTAGAGCTTATTAATGATAATGATTGGAGAACGTACTTTATACTAAGCGAATTTGAAGGACCGACTTTCGAAGCAATACATGAAAATAAACAATGGTAAGAATGACAGTAGAAAGATTAATGCTCGAAACTAAAATAACATTCCTTCAAAAAAAAATGTTTATAAGGATATAGATTTAAAGCGACTTGTAATGGCTTACTTATATTATTTTATATATACTTTTCTTTTTTGTATAATAATGATGACTAATTGCGACAAAATTACACTTGAAACATTTTAAATTTAGCATTTGCTTAAATTAGCATATTTTTGAAGTGATTGTGTTACGCTGGGTGATTATTTTTATTTGAAATACATTTGTTGAAATGTCGCATGAGGACTCAACATGTTAGAACGACGTCAAATATCAGATACATTAGTTTGCAATACGACTTACCCCAGAAATATGGATTCGATTGCTTTCTATTTTGTTTGTTGAATAGTTTTCAAGTATTTTTTTTTATTTTTCAATTAATGGAAATTAAATAGTGAGCGTCAACTTAAAAACACTAAAAATGCAATTTTTATAAAAAAAATGTTACTATTTGCTGTCCAAAGTAAAAAACATTGCACATTTTTTAACGTTTGATTAATTGGCAAAAAATAAATTTATATATATACAGCTTTTTTTTGGGTAAAAGACTGTATATAAACAAAATTTTGCTAAACAAATACCAAAAGAAACAAAATTAAGTTTATTTTTCGAGGTCAACATATGTGCGCTGCATAAATTTGTAAAAAATCATTAAATTTAAATAAGAGCAAAAGTGCTGCACTGCTGCAGTAAACTTGACACAATAAACTATACTATAGGCATGACACGCCTATTTTCTTTTGTATATATTTATAATATATTTTTTTTAAATTTAAATAAAAATTTTAATTTTATATAAAATTAATGGTAGAATTTATAATGAATTTATACTAAATTTAAATTTATTTCTATCTATTCTAAAAATTGCATTTAATAGTTTCTCATTTTTTAACTTGAAAACAATTTTTCATATATGTGTTTATGTTTATATACTATATGTATAGTATATATACGAAACATTCTAAATTTTGAAATTCTTCATTCAATTTTTCATGATCATTTTTACGCTTTTTTGACGCGTCTTTAAGTGTTCATTGAATAAAACGAAACATTTGTTTAAACAAATAATTTCAGTGGTATTTTTAAGCGAGTTGTCATAAAATGCGATTCACATATTACATATATATTTAATATAATTTATATTCAACAATAGATGTTTTAGTTTTATCTAAATCTTTTTCATTGAGCTAGCTTTAAGATGTTTTACTCACTTTTTAAGCATTTTAAGAACTTTTTGATTAAAGGAAAAATAAAATATTTAATGTTTTTAGAGCACCTCTAAGTTTTTTAAAACCTCTTTGTAGGATTTTTTTATATTGTTTGAGTGTTCTTTTAAACTTCTTTAAAGTTTTCTATCTATAGATTTAATTCTTTATGTGGATAAAGTCATATATATTTACATAAAAAATTAATATTTGACGCGATTTCGATATTCCTTGCACGCCAATATAGCAGCGAATTTTAGTAGATTCAGTTTTATTGAGAAACTTTTCAAAAGTTTCTCGATGCGATTACTAATTAGCTTCTGTTAAAGATCGATAAAAGAATGAAATAATCAATTGACTATCTCCAGACTTATTCTATCTTCAGAGTTATTCTAATGAAATGATTTCTACTTTGAATAATTTACAGAGTTTAACACATTTCACATCACGATAGAGAGTATATGATAAATCACGAGCATTTATGCGAAATTTCTTTTGCTTAAAATCGTTTTTATAAGAACTCGATAGTGTTAAAAAACAGGGGATACCAAAAATTTTCCAATTATCTAAGTTCTGCCTAATTTCCAAAAAGCTTAGAGAAAGAGAACAATAATCTGTTTCTGAAACCTATTTTTGGTAAGAAGGTTTGAATAGAACAAATTCACAGACAATAGTAACAACTTAACTCTGATCAGTAGTTAACATTAACTTGTGCCGTGAAAATTACTATTTTCTCTCTAAGTTAAATATTCAATTATTACTTTAAATAATATCTTTAAAAAAGCTCGATTAATATATTAGAGTTACATTGAATTTTTGTAATAACTCTTCTAATTCGATTGTTTTTTAACAGTATGATAAGCAAAAGAACACATACTCACTATGAACCATTACTAAGAGAAAGATGGAATGGCAGAGGTGGTTACTATAAAGTAAAGAGAAATCTGTTTCTGTCAGATTATATAGATGTTATTTTATTTTTTAATGTTATAATGAAATTTTAAACAAAGTACTCTACCACTATAGATAATATATACTATGGTGAAATTTATGTATTATAATTCACAAAGCAATAAAAATAATTGGATTATTAATAATCTCTAATCAATATATTCACTTCACTGCTGTGTCCCTTATACATATAAACTTTCTATAATTTAAACATACTTTGTACATGTCTATAAATATTGCATAATTTCTTTCTGAAATATATCTGTTAATATGCAATTTAAAAAAAATTCTATTTTATTTATTAATATCTGATATTTGACTTTTTTGTAAACATCCGTTTTATATGTTTATATCCTGAGAAACCTACACAGCGCCTCATTGACACGCAAATGCAAAAAGTAAATAAATAAAAATATAAAAATTTTAATTGACTGTCACCCACAAAACTTAATAGCAAATAAATTTAAAATTTGTAGTCTTAAATATAATTATCTCATCGGGAAAATTTATAAAAAATTCTGCGGAAATCATTTACTTTTGCGAATTAAAACAAATGTATGGATGTATGATACATTTGTTGGGTTTTACTTATTATTAAAAGTCAATACAATATATATTACACAATGATTTCTGGCAAATGAAACTATTTCGCTAAGAACGGAAGGGTGTACTTCTTGGAGTCACTCGCTGAATGGACAACCAAGTGCCGTTCACCACATCCAAATTATGCTACCCAAGCAGTTTCTTACGGGTTACAACAATATCTTGATAAGGTGATCAATATTATTTTCCTAAAGTTATTTTTTCACTGTGTTTGCAGTGATATATCTTAGATACTATACTATCAGTTTGAAAGTCATCAGTGTTATTATATCTATCATCTCAAATAGTAATTTTTTTTATCTTTTAAATATTACTACATATTTATCTTAGATATTAATATATTTTTGCAGCATCGATGGAATTCTAATTATGCCCAATAATTAGTTTACAATTTTTAATTACTCATTTCGAACACAAGTACCTACAGTCTACAAAACAACATCGTTGTTGTTACAAATTGTTTGTTGTTGGTTTTTGTACATATTTTCTGCATTTGCATTGTTACTTGTTGTTTTGTTCTGTTACCGTCATGTGTTCATATATTGAAGTTTACTAAAATCTGTTATTAACAATGTGTGAGAATGGTATACTAAGAGAAAATAATAATCTGTGTCAATGTTGAGAATTATTTCTGGTTTTTTATTTTTCTAATAGTCACACTAGTGCTACTTTACTTCCAATTCCATATAGTAAATTTTTATTTATTCTTCTTTTTCCGTCTTCTATATTCCTTCTTCTATATTTCTTCTTCTAATAGCACAAAAGGTCAATCATGATCGCAGTGCTCTGCTCAAATGGGAGCTAGTACTCCGTTTTTTCTTATCTACATTCCTTCTTCTATATTCCTTCTTCTATATTCCTTCTTCTATATTCCTTCTTCTATATTCCTTCGTCTATATTCTTTCTTTTATACTCCTTCTTCTATATTCCTTCTTATTTTCTTTATTTTTTTTTCATTTTCCAAATTTTTTTTATTTTCTATATTTTTTTATTTTCTATATTTTTTCTTGTATTCTATATTTTTTTTTAGTTTTTTATATTTTTCTATATTTTTTCTTTTCTATATTTTTTCTTATTTTCTATATTGTTTATTCTAATTACTGGTTAAGAATCCTGTATACAAATCATCCCATTTTATTTCTCATCTCTGATTCATATATTAAATTTAAACTTAAAATTAATCGATGTTACCTTTATATATATTTTCTTTTTATTAATTTTTAAAGACTTTCTCTCAGTGCAATTCCATTGAAAATATTTTCCCCTACGCTAATTGCATGCACTCTCACTATTGATTTGTCAATCCGTTTATGGGCATTGTTCAATATGTTGACCAAAATATTCTGAAAATTCCAACGACATTAGACTGAATTTTTCCTGTGAAAATGCATGATTATTCGTTGATTTCGATGATGTTTCGAGCATATGCTTTCCGTTGAATGACAAATAAATTTTTTCTTACAGCGACGAAATTGAAATTTTCACATCCACTCGGAAAAATCTCACAATTGGCGCCAGAAAAAGAATGAAAATATTGAATTTTTTTTTAATATTTTAATATTTTAATGTTAAAAAAGTCCCCCACAAAAAAATATTGCAAATATAAGAAAATCCAAATATATAATCGTAGATATATTTTTGTGTTCTCCTACAAATGCAAACATTTACATAAATATAGAAAATTGTATACAAATGGAGTGGCCATTAATTTTATGATCATTAAAATTTAAGATCTACGATCGGCAAAAAGCAAAAAGCAAAGAGCAAAGAAATGAAAAACACGACGAAAGAATTATTTAAATAATATTTATTAGTTTGATATTGTAATGAAACATATGTACATATATATCTTTAGCGCTTTGACATTGTATCAATATGATTATGACTAAGGAAGAGCACCCACATACATAAATTATTCTGCATACAAGTATACAAGCATACAAGCATATAAATTGTTAAATGTTTTTTAATATTTATTATGATCTCTATATATGCATATATGTAAGTATGTATAGATTTAATATAATAAATTGGAAAAAAATGTCCCTCAGAAAGTTTGAAAGACGCCACTATAAAATTCACAGGTCAAAGACAGTGCCTGTCGCGCTGAGATTACATGACATGTTAAACTTTTGAGGGACACGAGTAGACAGGCGGCGAGCTCTATAGATTTACAATGGATCTCTCTTAACAGAATACTACCTCCGGGTAAAATGTTTTTATTAATTTTTATATTTGTTTTTGTTCAATAATGAAAATTCATATGAGCTGTGAAAATTTTTATGAAAACTTTTAATAGGCATTCATTGTAATAAAATTTAATTATTTTAAAATATTTTTCAAGAATTTCAATAATACAATATGATGAGACTATGTCTCTGAGTCGGAGTCTCTTTTTTGTTCGTATCACAGTCCTTCTATTTGTTCGTCCGTCCGTCTGTCTGTCTCTCTGATAGTCAGGCCGACTATCTGTCGATATGTTCGTAAATAAAGAATTGCGTGCTTACATAGCTGCGCTTTTATTTGTTTTTCTTTTATCTCTCATAACATGGCCAGCTGAAATAATTTATTTAACAAATTTTCGTATTAAATTTTTTCACTCTTAAAAGCTGCAGAAGCAGCAGCAGCAGCAGCGGCAGCGACAGCGCTACGGTAGCAGCGGCTAAAAGCAAATATTTCAATATGCAAACTATTTTGTTTAGTGTTTCAATTAAATGACAACAGTTGTGCTTATTAAGCTGTCCTGATAAAATTCAATTAAAATTAAACATGAAAAATTCTTTATCAATTTTTTTTATTCTTATTTAAGTTAATAACACTTAAAAAATTTGTTTTAATAATTTTGGTACATAAAAGCGGCAAGTTAATAATATAATATTATTTACCTTTTATCACAATCGATTCACGTGCTATAATACAAAAAACAAAAAAAAAAACAATACTCGGATAATTTTCTTTTTTCTTTAATAACATCGATTTTTATTTTTAAACAATTAAAACATATGCGAATTTTATTATAAACATTGAAAGTGTCTGATGCTTTAGTTAATTAATTTCTGTTGTGGGAGTTTTATTAAAGATACTCGTTTAATAACAAAATGTTCTTAAAAGCAAAGCACAAAGTTAGAACCAAAAATGAAAATTGCAGAATCGTCTATAGTTATACGAGTACACCCCATAGATATGACCAAATAGCTAAAATTATAATATAATAAATACAACCAAAATAAGCAAATGATCTAAAACAATAAATATTTTATATTTATAATATATTTTTTTTGAGGTTTTCACTAATATGATTATGACTCATTTTAATAAACAAAAGATTTTGTTAACTTATGACGAATATCTATCTAAATAATCTATCTATCCATTTTGTGATTCCGAATGTAAACGTAAATAAAAACCATTCGTGTCTGAGATTTCGTTCAAATCTTTATTTCAATATATTGTTTGGACCGTGTGCCATTATATGTAATGCACAACATCATTCAAGCAACTTAGCAGATGATATAATAGTACTGGATCCTTTTCAGGTAATTTTCGATGACTTGTCAGCATGTGAATGATAATAGCTTGGCCCTAATTGGACATATATTAATTTTTATATAAAAGAGAATTTGAGAATTTTCCGCATAACCCTGATTCTAAATCGAAATCGCTGGATCTTGGCTGAAAATATATGTCCGAAAAACTTTTCACGCAACTAAGCCCAATTAGATTGTGTTATGTGGCTTATGACACACAATCTTGTTCAAACCACACGATTTTGTATTTGTTTTAGCATTAATATATATATGTATGTGATTTTTGATGCTTTTTTGTTTTCGAAGTGTTAATCCTAATTTAAAAACCAGTTCTATTGCCTGAAAATTTCGGGATTGGAATTAGAATAATTCCAATTTAAGCTATGCTTATCGTAAGAAGCGACTAAAATCCATTAGGCATCAAAATATATTGTTTGGTGTATCACTGGTGGTAAGTTTCACTTACGACACTCGACCAGAGGTGTAAATCTGTAACTACAGGGATTAGCGTCCGCAGCTTCTATATCCTTACAAATAGAGGTTGGCTTCGTAAAAGGAGAGACGTGGTGGCTGTGGTTTGAAACCGAAAAATGTGAAAAAATGACTGTATTTATTTCCTTTCATTCAAAGTGAAATTGCATTATGCCACCGGATGCTGTGATACAAAGCAGGTGTTAGATATTAGGGAAACTATATTCAAGCCTATAGCCCAAATTGGAACCGGCTGAGTTTCTTGAAATTCCAATGGGTCTTTATTGGCGCATTTAACCGTTACGTGTGTTTAAAGATGTTAAGTGGTGTTAAGTCTTTATGGCAGGAAGTCAAGATTGACAACTCTGAACTTTTGTTTTTAAAATATATATGTTAATTTAATATCATATAATTGTTGCAATGTTCATTTGAGATGGCAAAAATGTATGTGCATTCTAGTAGCATTATTTCCGATACTATTGAAGTTCGTGAAGGTAAAAATGTATGTTTGGGATTCCTGGACTATCTTTATATTAGAAAAACTTCAACAGTGAATATTATATGTTATTTGGTTTATTTTTTCAAATGCTATAAACAAGTCACTTGTTATGATGGCAGTATTCACATTTCGAATTATTTCCACCTTATTTGCTAAATTTAGCTCTCAACGACTAATATCTACTTGACAAAGACATCCTATTAGCAAAGAGACTTTATTCCAACAATAAAATCATATTTGAAATAAACCGACCTATCGAACTAAGCCCAGTAATAATTAAAAAAAAACCGTATGGAATATTGGTTCTAATAACAATTTATTAAAAACCGAATAAGGAGAAATTGATTTAGAAAAAAGTGAAGCACTGGAATAATTCTATTCCAATTGCGTTGAAGCAGTCTATTGATCAAAATAGGGAATTTTTGCAAAAAAAAAAACATAATCTAGTATTATCTAGTAGTCTGTTATCATGGATTCTAACGATTTCCTATTCTGTCTTATATTTCAAATTTTGGAATTTCATAATTTTATGATCTAAAATATAATATTTTATTACTGAGAAATTATTTAATTTGTTTATTTTCTTATGTGTATCGATTCCTGTTTTCCATTGAAAAAAATTTGCATAAATTTAAAATGAAATTCGGGTCAATACTTGCAATTATAAAAGACATACCACCTGTTTTTGTATGATTCATGGTGATTTTCATAAAATTTTTATACAATTTTCCTATAATTTTCATATAAAATTTTATGAATTTCATTCATTAATTAATTGCACTGCGCCGCTACTCTTTCACTTTGAATAAAGAATCCAAGTGAAGAGGTTTTACGCTTGAATGAGTGTATTTACGTTTTGCATACGTCTTGAGCTATAGATTGATGAGTATCAGCTGTTAGAATTTTGTTGAAAAAGTCTTAAGTAAATAGAATACATATTTTCCAAGTAAATGCAACGGAAGCCTGTATGATCAATTATAACTTACAATTGTATATTATTTCTTAATAATAAATTCTTTCTCTCTGCTTACAGTATATTGGGTCCACCTGCCTTAAAACACATCGCCAAAAATAATTACGGTCTGAAACGAAAGAGACATTATTCGCGTCCCATTTACAATTACTCTATGGAAGGTGTAAAGGCATGTTTTGAGGGAATACGGAAAAAAGTCGAATTGGTATGTTTGTTAAGAATAAGAATAATAACAAAAAGAAATATTTTAATATTTTCGAATAATAAAATGAATTTTTCTTTTCGTTTAGACACAATTGGTGGATTTAATTCATTCAATGGGTGGTAGCATACGCAAAGAAATCATCTATACGGAGGTTGAACATCTCATAACAGTTCGAACTGGTGGAAAAAAATATAAGTAAGTGGATTTTAGTATTTTTCACTTTATTTTTTTTTTTATTCTGTAAGTTCTTAAAGTCAAGATTCTTGTAATCAAGGTATAAAAACTAAGCATAGAAAACTTTGTTTAGATAGAGCTTTCTGAAAAGTGATTATCTTGTCTGTGAAATACTATATATATTATTTAGTATAGGGTTTAATAGAGAGAGTATCAGAAAAATGAACAACCATAATTAGTCTACATTTTTAAATATAAAATGTACTAGAAGATAATTGTAAGAAATATTGGTTCAACTTGCTTGCAGACACCTGTCAAGCCGAAAACAGAAATGGGTTTCAAAACATAATAAAACCGGAAATATAGAAATGTAATTTAGGTTACGAGACATAATAAAATCGAAAGTTTAGAAATGGAATAGTTAGTCGGAATGTAGTAAAGTAGAAATAAAGCAATTGTGAGGTTAATTGTGAGTTGATTTTGAACCTAGGTCTAGTTTCAGGAATCTTACTATATCACAATTATTAAAAAATTATTATCGCTTGATGTGTCATATGATAAAAAATCTTTTAAAAAAATAACTTTTGTTTAAAAATATATTAAACTGAATTTTAATGTCCGTTTTGACGAAAGTAACTAAAGACTCAATATAAGCTATTGTTTTCAATAGAGAGGAATTTCGAATAGTATTTATTTACAACCATAAATATAATAAATGCTATTTGTACAATAAAGTTAGAAAATATATATCTGACAATTGTTCAAAACAATTATAACTATAATTATTTAATGTTATTAATTACCTTATTTTAATTTATTTAAAGCTACGCCAAAACGTTTCGAGTGAATGTATTACGCCCTTCCTGGATATTAGCTGCTTGGGAACAGCGTAACGATTTAAACTTCCGTGCCACAAATGAAGAATTTTCTAAAGAGCATAGACTGAAAGCTTTTGAAGGTCAAAAGATTTGCTTTTTCGGCTTTCCACCTGAGGAGCATGAACATATGGTAGATGTGTTAAAAGCAAATGGTGGTTTACCTTGTGAATTGGATGATCCAGAGTGTACGCATGTTGTAAGTTATATATTTGATATATAAAAGAACTTGAAATCATCACTACATGTTCATTATGCTATTGTAAATTCACTTGCTTTTTTTTGTAATGCTGTACTTTAAACAATTATTTAAAAAAAAATTTGAATATTACAGGTTATGCCTAATACTGGTGCTTGCTTACCTGAAGAAAAGTTTAATAACTCTGATATCTCTAATATCTGTAATACCACTAACATCTCGAAATCCCCCATTAATTCTACTAACAATCCTAATCCCAATCCTATAGAACTAATGGAAGTTGATACAGAGACTACTGAGACTGTTCTTCCAGAAACAGATAAGAAAATTGTGCAAACCGAACAAAATACATCTAATGAAGAAAATGAAGTTAACAAGGATAATAAATTAATAAATGAAGAAATTAATAATGATAAGTGCAATGTTGATATTCATAATAGTGATGATAGTGAAATTGATGAACAATTTGCAGAAAAATTAGCGGTTGATGTTGAATATCAAAAAGAGCTGGAAAATGAAGCGGATGATTTTTTGTTAAATGATTTATTTGTTGAAGATAATGAATTTGATTTTAATGACAATGCAAAGGCAAGCACACCTGTAAAAGAAACTCATCCAGATAAAAAGGATAATGCGATAAAAACTTCTAGTAGCAAACATGATATGAGTTTTGAGAATCCAAACAACATTTCGCCTATTTTAAATGAACAAATCACTCCACCAAATATACAAATTGACAAAGCTTCTACATTTGCTGGAAATCTCAACAATATTTCACCTATTTTAAATGAAGAAATTACTCCACCAGATATACAAATTGATAAAGTACCAACATTGGCTGCGAATCCAAACAATATTTTACCAATTTTGAATGAACATATTTTACCAGGAACTGAAGTTGATAAAGCTCTTATATTTCCTGAAACGCCTAGAGTACTTTTAGATGATATTCCTTTGGATGAAAATGAACAATTTGAGACTGATAATTTAAATGATTTAAAACGTAAACGAGAGTGTTTTGATAACATTTCTTTATTATCTGTTGAATCATTTGCTATGCCCAATAGTACCAAGAAACCTAAACTCGTACGTACTGGTTCTATAACACGTTGCATTAAACGTTCATTGAGTTTTGCGGCTGCGCGTACACCAATTACCCGTATGCTACGTCCACGTCGTAGTTCAGTTGCACATGAAATAACAACTGACTTACATGAACATGATGATATTAGTATTGCCGATAATTCATTCTCTTCTATTACCTCTGTGGACAGCAGCATATTCAATGAATCCTTTTACAAACCAGTAAAGCAAAAGCTAAGTAATTTACGTCAACGCATAACGCGTAGTAGTAGTAAAAAGGATAAAGATCGAGACAAAAGTATACTTGGAACACCTGAAAAAAAGAGTGAATGGGAACAGCAACCTGATGATGCCTTTAAAACACCAAAAGCGCCAGCAAAAATTAGCATATCGGCAGCTGTAGCAGCAGCAGTTAAAGTATCAACTCCCAAATCATTAAAAAAATCGAAAAACTCTTCCTCTATGAAATCCTCCTCAAGTAACACTAACCAAATGTCCGATAAAGTTCATATGGTACAAGATGCTTCCATAACTTGCACAGATGTCGATAACAATAATTTCACTACTAACCCAACAAATATTCCAATGCATCTAAAGTGCAATAAAGATATTTCAAATACTGTCACTGGCATTGGCACTGCTACTGCCACTGATGTTGCCAGTTTGCAACCAGCAGCGTCCTACACTACACTAGAAAATGAAACAAAAGTGCAAAATGATAAACGGGAACCAAACACGGTACATAAAATTGTATTTAATAGATTTCAATTATGAGCACAAGAAAAAAAATATAGAAAACTAAAAAATATTAAGAGAAAAGTGAATTTCAATTAATTTTCTTCCAAGGAAGTACAAAATGCAAGCCTTTGAGTTTCTTATCCGTAAGCCAATGACGGATATGAAGATTAAAGTAAAATATCTAAAATAGGTCAATGTGTATAATTTTGAGATATTGTAAATTGGTACAGCAAGAGATATTTTATTATGATTATTAAACTAAAGTATCTTCGCAATACACACAACTTATCAACTTTTTATAAACTTTTATAAAAAAAAAATATAATTTGCAACGCATTTTTAACAAAAGAAACGGATTTAGTTAAGTTTAGCTACTGCTCAGTGTAATTTCTAGGAATGCCTTCCATCCTTCATCCTTCCTGTTTTAATTTTGTTTGGTGTTTTTGTTCATTTTAAGCTAAAAAATTTTAATTTCGTTTTAAGTTTGTTATTTAAGTTTGGGTGTTTGGAATTAAAGAATTTAAGTTTTTTTTTTAACAACAGCACAATAAATATTTTTCAAACATGTTTTAATAAAAATACTACTAGTTAAAGATTAATTAAGATATTTAAATCCTTTTTTTTTGTACATATAATTGTATTAATTGTTAAAAATGCTATGCAAATTGTTTTTTTTAAATATATGTATATTAATTATTTTTCTATATGTTTGTGTTGTGTCCGTATAAAAAAATATACTTGCACATATCAATTTATAATTAAGAGCACTTAAATAAAATTATCACATAATTATTGTTTACAATTAATGTCCTTAATATTTGTTAGTTTTCTATATTTTGTTAAAAAATATTTTGTCATTTGTTGTCATTTTTAAATAACATAAATGTCTTGTGTTTCTTAACCTAAACATATACACATATATATGGTATGTGTCTACATATGAAAAAATTTATTGTGCTGCTATTTAATAGTTAATTAATTTAACATATTTTATAACTTAATTTAATATCTTTTAAAACTTATTAAACTATGAAATATATACAATATTATTTTTATTCAAATATATAGGAGTATAGATGAAACTGATTATTTGCTTAAGAAACTTAATACTTTAATTTGTGAAATACCACTTTTAACAGTTAAGTGCATTTGTATATATAGCTGTGGTTTATGCGTTTATCCTACTGATTGAAGTAGAGGTGCATTTTTTGCTTGAGAAATAATAATATAATTGTAATATATTATAATTATATTTGAATTTATATAATTCAAATGAAATTATTGAACCACACAATTTGAGTGCGATATTGGCCTTAGTTTGTGAACATATAAATCCACGTTTCAAATTTGATATAGTTTGATATCTGGTACTTGCAGTTAAAAATATTATGTATGAGCAATTAAATCATGGATTATTTTTTTTGAATGACCATAGATGTTAAAAATTTGCCTGTACCCGAAATAGCCAGTAAACTTTTATTAATTTAAAATTAAATGCTGTATATGAAATTTCCTCACAAGAATAACAAACGTTTTGATTTGAAAGTTTATACAAAAAAGTATTATAAACCAATTATCAGTTACTACATAGATTGATTATTTAGTGCTACTTATTTTGCAAAAAAATTGCTAGCAAGTAGCACTTGTTAGACTGCAAATATACATGCAGTCTTCTACTACGAATTATACTATGAAGAACTGTAGAATTTTTTGATTTATGCTGTTTTTCCCACACTGAAAGTGTAACTTATGTAAGTTACATTGATAAGTAATTTATAAAATAATTAATAATTAATTATTTAAATAATTAAATAATTAATTAAATAATTAATTAATTCATAAAAATTCTGAAATTGTTATAATTGTGAAAACTGTTATAAACATTATTTTTAATCTGCCTAATTAATCTTGCAAAATGCAAAAACCCTCACTTACTAAAAAAACATAATCCATAAAAAGAATATAATATAATAATAATAATGATTGCTCTACTTAATTAATTCATATAAATTCTGAAACTATTATAATTGCGAAAACTGTTATAAATATTATTTTTAATCTGTAAAATTAATTTTGGCCTCACTCTTGCACAATGAAGCGTTCCTTTAAAGCGTTCATCAAATTAATAATCAGGAGATTCTTAAATACTTTTTGTTTTTAAGCAACTTTTTAATCAGCTAAGTAAATAATCAGTTTTATAAGTAACCCTATGATTAATTAAATACTTAAAAAAAAATATTTGCTATTAAGAAGGTGTGAAATATTGAAGTGGTTCACACGAAACAAAAGTAGCCACTTACTATTGCAACCTGCTTAAATGGTTCTTTGATGATACATTGCTCCACTTTGGTATGCAACGCCTTCACTTTGTATTGCTGTGTTCTTTTATATTGTATCTATTTTTAAATGTTAATATTAAAAAATTTATAAAAAATTCACGCACTCACATGGTTTAATTGTAGTTGCAAATTCATTTATTTATACAGTCATTAAAAGCACAACATCAAAATACACAAAATATTTTTTAACACTTTAAATATATACAAGTTTTTATTAAATGTTTATTTGGAACATATGCAAAAAAAAAGAAAAAGAAAATAACTATATAATATTGAAATTAGTTCATTGCACGTATTTAAATTTATTCATTATGGATTTCTTGAACGAATTTTATTTTTTATGAACGGATAACTCAATTTACTGAACTATAAAAAATTTATTTAAATTCCCACCGTTGCCATGAATAATTGTTTGAAAACTTTTTCACCGTTATTTTAGGATTTGTACTTTACATATAAATAATTTCTTAAAAGCTATCCGCATATGTTTATGTAAATGAAGAAATTCATACATAAATAGTATTATTGGGTTTCGGAAAAACAAATGCTGATCATGTTTTTTCTACTATAAAGATTATTCCTTTATTGTAGCAATACGGGATTTAAGGTTTTAGGAGGTAATACGTTTAGTCCCCGATATAATAATGCTGACCATTTTTTTCTACTATAAAGATTATTCCTTTATTGTAGCAATACGCGATTTAAGGTCTTAGGAGTTAATACGTTTAATCCCAGATATAATACATTATACCTATCAAGATAGAGATGTAGAAAGCGGAACAAATAGTAATCTGACTATTTGTCAGACTAAAGATGTAGCCTTTAACAGAACAATGTTATATCTTTAAAAATCAGCTTAATGCAAATCCTTCCAAACAGTCCACAATACTTAAACTTCAGTTCTTATGAATGTCATGACAGATCACTGGTTGATCTTTTCAGCAAAAAAAAATCAATTATTCGTTGTCAAAATCAAGCTAACAAAAAATCCGTATATTTTTTGTTTAGTCTAATAAATATAGTAATTAATTTTAATATTTATTTTTATTAAAATAAATAAATATCGAAAATAATAAAGTTCAAAAATTTATATTTATAAATTTAAATATATATTATTTATATAAATTTCTTTTAATTAATAAAAGTATTGCAGTATGGACCAAATAAATGTTTTTTTTAAAAAATACTCTATTTTTTTCAATTAATATAACATTTTCTGTACTTATTTAAATAGGTTGTAGATGAGCACACCGTTCAAGCGAAACCAGAACCGAAGAGCCAATATACTTACATATTGAAATCAGATTGGTTTTGGTATACTATACAAATGGGTTTTGCTCGAGAATCGGATTACCTATTTGGTAACGTAAGTATCTCCAATACCACTTCTAAAATTTTACAACAATAAGTGCTTATAATTTGAATTTCTTTTAATTTTTAGTATTTGAACAGCATTGCTAATACGCCCAACACAGATAGACGTGAATCGTTACCAATCAGTTTTAACAAGCGAAAAAGGCGACTTTTCTCCCAACGTCAACATCCTGAAAGCACGCCTCGTGGTTCAGGAAAACGACGTTCCTCCATTTCCGAAGCTGGTTTGCTATCAGTTTCAAATAGTTTTTTCGATTGTACTGCCAGTCCTGACAAATTAGAGAGCGGTAAACTTTATAATGAATCAGAAAGTTCAACATGTGAACTAACAACACCTTCAAAGAAATCTATGCGATTTAATCATTTTATGGATTTCTATAATACTGAATCTAATTATGTGGGCATTTTGGACACCATTGTTAATGTGAGTTATAATTTCTTAGTTATTTTATATTCACACTTAATAATATGTTTTTAATTAAATTTTGCAGCTCTTCAAAATTCCTTTGGAGTTAAGTGCTGAACAAGCTGAGCCACTAATAAACAAATCCGAAATAAGAGCTATATTTGGAAACTTTTTGCCAATACATGAAGTGCATCAGAGAATGTTAGAGCGCTTGCGTTCCATACAAAGTAAATGGTCTGAAGATTGTTCAATTGGTGATATTATTTTGCAACATCGTGATGATTTAATAAAAGCCTATCCACCTTATGTAAATTTCTTTGAAAAAATGGTGGAGACTTTACAACAATGTGATAATCAGTATGCGCGTTTTCACGCATTTTTAAAAATAAATCAAGCAAAACCAGAATGTGGGCGACAGAGTTTGCAAGATTTAATGATACGTCCCGTTCAACGTTTACCTAGTATAAGTTTACTCTTAAATGGTGAGTAATTTTTATCTATAATATACAATCTTAAAGTTTATTATAATTATTTTTACCATTATTAGATATTTTGAAGCATACCAATAAGAATAATCCAGATTTTGAGCGACTAGAAGAGTCGCTTAAAGCTATTAAAGAGGTTATGACGCATATAAATGAGGATAAACGGAAAACGGAGTCACGTATGGCTATCTTCGATATTTTCAACGAAATTGATGGTTGTCCAGTAAGTATATTAGATTGTGTTTGATTTATTTTAATTTGAGTTATTTTTTATATATTAAATTTTTAATTGATATAAGAAAATGTTAGTAAAAATTATTGAAAAAATTAATTGCATATTGTTAGGGATAAAAAAAATTAAATTGTGGAGATGAGTATGTTTTGCTTCAGATAATTGATTCCTAATTCCTGGCTCTAATAATTGCTATAATATTTTTCATTTTATATATTTATTTGTAGGTTTTTATTATTCATACGTAATTTTTCTATATTCTATTTATATTTATTTAATATATGATACTATAAAATTAAAGCTTAAAATTTAGCTTATAATATTACAATTCTCGTTTTTTGTTTTCTTTTAGGCTCACTTAGTGTCCTCGAATCGGAGTTTTATTTGTAAGTGTGAAGTGACAGAACTTTCGGACAGTTTAAGTGGTCGCGGAGACTCACTTATGTTGTATCTTTTTTCTGATACAATCGAAGTTTCTAAAAAACGTTCGAGAGGTTTTAATTCAGCAAAGTCACCTAGCGCCACACATAAATCGCATAAACATATCAAATTAATACCTCTGAATGCAATACGTTTCGTTATTGATATAATAGATAGTTCACGTGCATTTGCATTACTTTGTCGCCATGATAAGGATAAATTACATTCATTTACCATTGCTGACGAGGAAATCGATAAATGTGTGTACCTAAAAAAGTTGTGCAAACAAATGGCTGAAAATGCTTGTCGCACGGATACGGTAAGTTGCATTTTAAATTTAATCTAGTAAATGTTGATTTATATTTTTTACTTTACTTACAGGAAAAATCTTTACTGTGTCGTACATCTGAGGATCTACAGATAGATATAAGTGACGTCAATTTAAGTACTTTATCAAAAGCATTTAAACTTGCAGCTCGAACGCGTTTAAAAGTAAGTTTAAATTTAATATTGTATTTTTGTATCAGTTTTAACATGTAGATTTGTTGTGTCGTTAATGTAATTGTATGTTATTAATATTTAGAATAGTAAGAAATAGAAACAATCGTTAAGTAGTTAATTTTAAATATATTAGTTGAAATTAATCTAAAATTAAATGCACTAATGCTTTAATTTGTAGTAACAATATTATAAAAATATAATAAAATAATAAGTTAAGGATCTTATAAATAGTCTTATTATATAATAATAGTCTTATACTCTTATAAACAGTGCTTAGAAGTGTACAATTAGTTCGTGCTTAAGAATTAATAGATATTGTTCTTGTATAAGATACTGCTATTTAGGTCAATATCTTCTTTTCTTTAAGAAATTCGCAAATGTTACAATAGGTGATTAATGCGCGTCCACAATTTTCCGATGTTGTTGTGAAGCCCGCAGGTATCTATAAAGCAGAAAACATGAAACAAATTACATGACAAATACATGTGTAAGGATGTGAATGGGTAGTGTTTGTGTGCGAGGGGAATGGATGAGTAGGATTGAAATATTTAGTTCTACAAATTGGGGAAAAACCTCCTCATGATCTTCCTAACAATACTATTCTATCATCTAATCAAAAAAAAAACGATATAGAGCAGCAAAATCTTTTCAGACTTAACTTAGCTCATGTTATAGCCATGTGTTAAATATTTACTTAACTTGGTTTAATCTGTCTATCCGTACTTATCTTGCGAATCTACATCTTATCAGTCGTCTACTTCAACAGCTTCAATTTATACTAATATCTGAACCCAACTGAACTATGGCTCTGAGTCTAAATTTCAAATCTTTAATCAACGTAACCACCTTCAATAGATGTGAAGAATGGAATATTTGTTTATACCCATATCTGACCGCAACTGATCTATGAGTTCGAGTCTAAGTTTCTAATCTTCAATTAACCCAACCGCTTTAAATAGAAATTAAAAAAATTAATATTAATTTAAGTTTAAATATTTTAAATTAATTTATAAAGTAAACGTTAGAATTAAAATGGTTGTAAACTAAGCGATTAAACTGTTTTAGTTTGAGTGTGCAAACCAAATATAGATATAGTTGTTCTTTTATTTTAGCTTGCATTTTTTTTTTAAATAAGAAATGTATATAAATTATAATTTTTTTGAAACTTTTAATATTATAGTATAGTTGCTTTATTTATGTTAAGCATATTAGCCTTGATGTAATATATTGTACTTATATGTGTGTGTGTTTCTTTTTTGTTTCCCACCTATCCGCCCTTGACTCTAATCAAGAAAATCTTTCATTAAAACTAGGTCGGTCGTGCATTCTCCTTCAATAAAACTCCTTCCAAATTGAAACGTGCTGTTTCCACTATGATGACATCACCATTTGCCGGCAACAATTCCTTGTCGTCACCGGCATCACAAATGGCCCAAATGCGCTTGGCGAGCTGCAACAATATACGTGTAAGTAAAGCATAAAGTATGAAAGAAAAAATCGTATTTACTATTTTATTTTTCATTTAAAACAGGAAGCAGTCGATGAAGAGAGCGTTAGTTTACGTAGCAGTTCACCCTCAGCACAATCAGAAATTCTTTTAGTACCACCATTATCAGTGCAGCCAACACGCAAAAATAAGGCTAACACTATTGTGGGACGTATTTAAATTTCAAAACTAAAAACTAAAACTAAACATTTACAATATGCTGCAGCATATTAAGTGCATATGGAAGTTTGAACACTTCTAGTACTTTTTAAATTATTGGACTATAATTTTTTTAACGTGGTTGAAACGTATTCGTTTAGCATGTATTCATATCATATATCGTTTTTGAGAAGTTCGATGTATCTTCTTTGTTATTGTATTTGTAACATGCAATTTGTAAGCTGGATAATTGAGTATACTTACAAATTGCATCACTGAAGTATTTGATATACTATGTACATTTATGGCATTTGCCTTCTTTTCGTAGGCATTCGTTTCGGTTTTAATTTTGTGCTCTATTGTGCATTATTTATTTGATTTCTTATTCGAAATCAACGTTGTATGTATATTTTGACTTTAAATTATGTATTGAAAAGGATAACTTAATTTTAAGCTCTTATTTAGGGGAGTTTCATTTGTTGTAACAACAATTTTTTATTTTAAAGAGTTTGAGTTTTAAATAATTAAATTTTATTCATTTTTAAAGATGATTCTCATTATGTTCTTGTTATAGTAATGAACATGTTTCGTAGAATTTTGTCGTAAATCGACATGATTTACTTAAAATGGAAAATGATCGAAATAATTTTGTATCAATACAATTTCATATGAAATATATATAGACATACATATATATACTAAGATGTAGATTTTGATTATTATTCGCTTAAATGAATATTTATTGTGTAAATATGCAAATCAGATTGATCTATAAACGATTAAATCAGGATAATCAGAAACATGTACTTTGATTTTAAAACTTATAGTATATACATATTTATATATTTTCAATTCGGGTTCAAATTAAGTGGTTAGAAAGTGAATATTATTGTATAAAATATTTTATATAGAAATATTTATATTTTTTTAAATATTATAAAATATTCCTAAATATAGCTGTAGTAGTAATATAAGTTAAATATATTGTTCGTTTTAGAAAATATAATATATTTATATATATGTATATATACATATATATCCAACACTAGATAAGTTTAAAAATAAAATATAACTATTTTTATAGCTATTTTAGAAAAAAAAAAATAATAGCTTTTATTATTTATATATAGTGAGACAAAAATTAGAAGTTTTTCAAAAACATTGAAATGTTTTCAATGTTAATTTTTTTCTTGCCGAGAGTGACACGTCTTTATGACGAAAAGAAACTATTTTAAAGTTAGATGGATTCGAAAAGCAAAGAAAAGATAAGGACAAAAATTTGTTTTAATTTATTGAAATTTGGCTGATCGTACAACGCTGTTTCGAATATTACCAAGTATTGCTCATCATCAGTGGTCTTAGGAAATAATCGAATTTTTTAATTAATTTATAGTTCGTATATACAAATGTTTTCTTTTTAAATGGTGTAATATGGTATAGCCAAATCTGCAATAATATATATCTGTGTATTATAATTATTAGAGGAACAATCAGCGCTCTCAATCAGATGTTTACTGTAAATCTATTATTAAACAAACCAATATTTTGGCCAACTAAAATATTGGCTCATCATACAGTTCAAAACCAAATAGTTCAGTACTTTACGGCTTACATACGCGCATACCTCTTAAGATATTGAGACTTTAACAAAGAATATTTTTTATTTAGTTAATATACCAGCAAGCAATGAAAACAATCCTAGGCTTTGAAATTCTACTGAATTAAAAAAAAATCATATGATGTGGTATTTTTGAAACAATAGTGGTGCGATATAAAATGTTAATTCTGGTTGCCACAGTCATATGATTATTATATTTTTTTGGGATAAAATTTAAGATAAGGATGTGGAGAATAGAATATTTCGATAGGACGGTGCTGTATATCATTATAGTGTGGCTTTGTTGCGAAAATAAGCCGGATGTGTAATTTCGAACTTTAGTTGGGTGAATTGTCCATCAAGATGAAAAGATATGTCGCTATTGGAATATTTTTGTACAGGCACCCAATGGGACGTTTTTATGTATCCTCAAACTCTCGACGGATTTAAAATAAACATCTGTTGAGTTATGCCCAACTATTTGCTGATAAGTTATTGAAAATCATTTCAAAAGGAGTCAGTATTGTAAGGTATCTTGTGAAGAATATTTGAATTATGACGTATTCCACATCTAATTTTGGAGTTTAATAAATTATTGAAATTAAAATTTGATCACAAGTGTGTTTTATTTACGTTTAATTCAAACCCACAAAATGTGTAACGCGATATACTAAGTCGAACGTGTAAAAATGGTCACTTGTTAGTTCTGTGCCTAACTTTGGGAGTTTAATCTAATCCAGTCCAAAAATAAATATCTTTTTTTAAGTTTAGTAAGTCACTTATAGATAAAGTTTGTTGATGAATTTTATTGGTAATAATATTGTGTCGGCATTTAACTAAAACTAATTCAATAAAATTGATCTGATCGTCACTTATATAAATTCATTAAGTTATACAGATAATAAAGGAATTATAGGTACGAATATATGGGTTAAGATATGATTAGGAAAAGGAGTTCTGAAAACGAAGGATATAGTTTGGGCACAAAAACGGGTTTTGGATGTGTGGGATTTTGAAACTTTAATAGGATTGACGAAGCTTACTATCACTTGGGCTGAAATTAGTGCGTATGCATTGGGATATGAGAACAGATGAGCAATATCATGAGGGTTAAGCTACACTCTACAGTTTAGGACTGACGCATTTGTACGTGACAAGTAACTGTCTAGTACTTTTCTATATCCTGAGCTCAAGTGGGCTAGGACAGCTCTAGAGATGTCAATGGATTTAATAAAAAATAATAATTAAAACGAAAAATTTTAAAGATGTTTTAAAAATTTTTATTTATCTTTTTTACTGATGGTGGAGTTTTCTTAAGATATTCAACATCATTCTTTTTATTAACTAATACAGTTTATTGTAAAATGTTTCTTGTTCTTATAGTTTTACAATGCTTTTAATACTTTCGATTAGTTTAATAAAATAATTCCAAGAGTAATTAAAATAAATGCGGTTTAATATTGATCGTTATCAAAAAGCTGCATTTCTTTCTATTCATCAACGCACTTTCGTTTTATTCTTTAAAAGGCACTACAAAACAACTACGATTAAAATATCCTTAAGGATTTAAAGCTGCAAAGCTAAAGATAAAACACTTGGGACTTAAATTATAAATTGTATAAAATTAAATAAAACTAATAAAGTTAAAAATAGGAGCACAAATGCAGAACGGTGATGGTGTACCGAACTAACTTAAACCCAAAGGACAATTGTGGAATCGTCATTTGATAGAGTTGAAAATCGCTTGTTTGTATTGCGATACGCTTTTGTCGGCGACTCCCAACGATTAGATGTCTCGCATATTGAATTCATAGGAACGCCGATAATGTTGTTGGGATGTTTAGCATTTCTTGTAAGTGTAGGTACTGCAGTAGCGCTGGTAAGTGTGTGATTGGGGCTTTCTACATTTTGGTCTTGTAAGGATTCTTGTTCACTTGCTGTTGAACCATGTTGCTTGCCACGTGAACCTGTATATTTTTTGCATGGCGTGGAACATAATGGCACGCCGATTTCTTGAAAAGAACTGATTGAGCTGAAGCCACTTTCATCCTCCGTGGTAGAGCATAGAGGTAACGTTTGTTTGTTGTTTTTGTTAATGTTGTTGTTGTTACACAAGAGCGCTCCGGATATGTAAGGTAAGGTGGGCTCATCATCAGTTTCAATCTTTGAGGAAGAAGAAGTAGTACATGATGATGATGTTGTGGAATGCACGGAACTATCTGTTGTGCTGTGCAGTGAAAGTCGAGAGTCTCGTATATTTGCTGAACGCAAGAAGAGCATATCGGCATTGGCAAGTGTGGCTGCTTTAGGTGGTGCAACAATAGCCGAAACTGTTGTGTTAACTAAAGTATCAACATCATTAGTGTTTGGCGCTAGTGTGAGGCTAGTAGAATTGTGAATAGTGGGCGTGTGTAAAGTCAATGTAGAACCATTCGGTGTTTTGACATTTAAACGCGCTAAATTTAATGCGGACAGTGAGTTACGGTGTTGTGTTAAAACAGGTTGTTGTGTGGACGTATTCAATAGATTGTGTATGGTACGAGATAAACGAAAAGCCTCTTGGTTCAGTTTCTCTTCCACATCATCTAGTGCAGGTGTGTGGGTACGATTATCGTTTTGTTTCTGCTTCGGTGAACGGCGCCTGGAAGTGGAAAATAAATGTTATTTTAAATTTAAATGATGTGATTTATATTGGCAGAAATGTGTGTAAAGGAGTGGTACATACCATGTAAAATCTTTAAATGTGCTGTATGAGTTCGGTGGTGCTACAGCATCATAAGTCGGTTCGCTTAGTTTGTTGTGTTTAATATTGGCCACTGTGGCAGCATCATTGTGGGTAGATGCTGGTGGTGGCAATAAATGTGGCGACTGCTTTAGATCAATAAGATTGGTGCTACTGCGCGTGCGCAAATACGACGTGGCCATTGATTCATCGCTATGTGGGTTGTTCTCATGACCTCCGGCATAGACGTGGTAAAGGCTTTTCGAACGAGATATTTGCTCCATGTTATTGCGATTGTTTTGCTTATGGTTATGGTAACGATCAAGAAATCGCACTACTTCCTCCATAACAGCACGATACATTTCACAACTTGTTTCCACCTGCACAATGTAAAACAATTATTAGTATGCATTATATAAACATAAATAACTATTTTTATTTTTGGTTTGTGTATAAAATGAAACGAATAAAAATTAAAAGAAAAAACCGTGTTTTATAGTATTTGGTGTAGTTAAAAAAAAATTAATTGCGCAATATATGTATTTAATTATTTTAAAGTGTGGAATTGTGGAAGACAGATTTGCTATATTTCTCACAATAGAATCTATTGAATATAGAAGGACTCCAAAAAATAGAGAAGAGTATTAAAGTGAATTTACTAAATGGTTCAGAGTATATAATGAGGAGATTATCCTGCATATGATATTTCGCTTTATTTCCTTTGACCTAAAATTATGACAGTAGTCAATGGGGGGACACCTTTATTGGTTGACTCTATGAGCATTGTTAAAAAATAATATAAACAATGTAACTACTATAATTAAATAAAATGATAGTTAATCACAATATTGATGATGGATTTGAAACTTTTACATCGAAAGATGTTAATATGATATATTCTACAATATTGTTATAAGTGAGTGTACTAAAAATATGCCATGTTATATGTTAGAAGTCATAAATCCCAGTTGACAATGTTGAAGATAACTTTATTTAATAGTTGAAAGTAAGTCGGAGGTTCTTAAAAACTAATTTTGAATTTGAGAATTCTTTATTCAATCATTTAGGATATAACTATTAAAAACAATAGCGAGTAGTTGACACCTAATTTTTTTTGGTACACATCTAATAAAACTAAGTAAAACAAATATATTAACCTTTATGTGCTCAGGATATTTTTCTGACGTTGACGGTCAGTAGTGTACATTTGTAGCAAGCAAATATGTTATATAGAAATCGATGCTAACATATAGAAAAAACAGATTATTTTACTTTTGCACATAATTGTACATATTTATATATATTCTCCTGTTACTGCTCCGGTTAGTTAATAGTATCTACGGAGATTGTTATTCATTTAAGCCCACAATTCAGAGATAGGAACAGTCTTGTCATTAACAAGTCAATCAGCACCAGTACGCGGACTGTCAAATAGAATAAAACATAAAATTTTTTTAAAAGGAGATTTCGGCATTATTCGTAACTCCATAATACATCCATTTTGTCATCGTTTGTTTTGTTTAAACCAGCCAGCAATAGAAGTTCAGATATTGGCAGTTTCCATATCTGAAATTTTCTCATAAATTAAATTATGTAGCAAACGGAAAGACTAAATCCTTCTGAGATGTAAGAATTTAATGGTATACATAAAAAGATACAATTTGGCAAATATAACTAAAAGTGAAAGGCAATTGGCCAAAATTAAAAACAAGTACAAAAAACACCAGAAGGTGCATGAGAAGTTCAAAAAGTTGTCAATTGCAAAAAAAAAAAAATAAATAAATAAACGAGGTTTTCGGTTGCCAAGTTTTGTTAATCTTTTTTTTGGACATAAACGCGAGTAGAAGATTGTGGTATTGTTTAGGTGGGCGTGTTCTATTGGAAATACTTGGAACTGTGTTAATTAGGTGATATCGAGCCAAAAATCTCTTACTAAGTTTTATTTATTATTTTATAGTAAATTTAGTAAAGGTTAAGTATGCGGTCAGAAAACTAAAATTGTGATATTTTAAAAATAATTGAAATTGTTTCCCATTTCATTAAAATTATATAAAATATTATTTTATTCACTGCTGGCTTGAAACGCTGTAAGACTGTTATTGCTTTCTTCATATAACAAATCTTGTAATTTTGCTTTTATCTTGTATCTTGGTTATCGCTTAATGCAGTGAAAGTGCACTTCTTCATCATCGTTCGAATTGTTCGAATGGTTTGGATCGTTCGTATCAAGTCTAATTTTTCAAAGATTTGTTACCAAATCATTATGCATGCCTCATAAACTTATAAAGCCGCACACAACGGCAAAACAATAACAGAACTAAAAATTAATTTCCTAATATTGAAATAATTTTATTTAAAAGTATTAAAAATTAGCATAAATACTTTAATTAAAATTTTATCTTAGTTCGTTGGGATTGGGTTGGATATTAATCATTTTCTGTTTATGGATTTTCCATGTGTTGTTGTAACTCGTGTTTTTTTTTGGGCAACGATTTGTAAATGAATTTTAGAAATGGGGCCCACACATAATTTGGACACTTTTATATTTAAAAGATACTCATTTAACAAAAGAAAAGAGGAAAGACCATCAGTGAAACTCGAAAGAAGCGTGTCTGAAATTGGTCAGCTTTTTAACAAAGTAAAATAAGAAGTTTGTGTGTTTATATATGGTTTTATACCTACTCATATAACATGGAAATTAAATAGGTTGTAGAAAACATTAGGAGAAATAAAAAAAAAATTTGATTTAGTTTATCAGTATATGACGATTAATGCCGACGAAAGAAAGGTTAATCAAACATTGAGCCACAACTCAAACGGTTTAACATTTTCTGCCAAAGGGTCTAACTAAAAAAAATTTGAAACATACTATTATAATGCCACCAATATCAATTAACATCAATGCGGAAAGATAAATATATCATGAAATACGCAACTGGGTCACAAAGAAATGAACCACACTGAAAGGTTAACCGTATTATGTTGAGTCAACGTGAGATAGATAAGAAATCAAAGCTTTAAGTTCAAGACACAATCATCAAATCAATTTTACTATATGGAATAGAAATTTAGTGAGTAAACGGGAGAGAGCATATCAAAATGACAGCCTTGGAAATGTAGTTCCTAAGAAGAATAATGTAAAAAACTAGACATGACAGAATAAAAAACGACCTTATAAGAAGTGAATTACAGGATGTTGATAATGAATATAAAATGAAGCGCATAATGTCAAGAATTGCTAATGGTTTTCTGGCAGCCAACTTTAACAGAAGAAGTTTTGTTGAGTGCACAAAGAAAACATTTGAGAACAAACTTTCAGAGACAGTGAGAGTTGGAAATGTGAACAATATATAAATAGTTAACTGACTGGGGGATAGATACAGTAAGACAGCTGTATTATAAAATATATTACATAACGTTAGAATAAAAACTGAAAACAGTATGCGAAACATAAAATTATGTAGGGCCCATGAATCCTACAGCGTTCTATGTTCATTGTTCTAGAAAGATACTAATCAAGTAAAATCTAGGTGAGCATTTTTACTTATATTTATTCGAGTATTTAAATTTATTACACTTGCATCACTGTATCTTTTGTATCCAATGTTAAATAAGACGATATTTGCAATACGCAGAAAATTGTATAATAAATTTATGGATATTACATCAGAATCAATCGATTAGATAAGTTGTATCATCCTATTTATGTGCAGTTCTGCAATAAGACATTTCTTGATCTAACGATAGAGCTACATAAAGTGCATGAAGCTTTACTCTTCTCAGTAACTGTTGGTGCATGAAAGCAAGCGTAGTCAAAAGCAAACGCTAATGACCTCATCGTTCAAGTGCAAATTTAAACCTTTTATAGAGTTTACATAATGACAATCTCTATCGGTACTAAATCTTCTCATTTTGTTAATATCCCCTATATATTTAAATATTATGCTCTATTAAGAAGTAGTTTAAACTAGGTAATAACTCAATATCCATCGAACTCATGGCCATGAAACGAAGGCTGGCATGGTTAAGCCGACAAAGCAACGACAACAACAGCGTGAGCACAAATTATCGGTAACACACAATGCTAGAGTAGTAGAACCGGTGGAACAACGACACTAGTGAAAGATGGACTGCAAGACCCATCCCCGACTTAGTCGCCTGGACCACAAGAAAGTTCGGTGAAGTCAATTATTATCTGACGCAACTCGTCTCCGGGCACGGGTACATTCGACATTCGATAACAGCAGAATTGCATCTATGGTGAGACAGATGTCGACGATGTGTGCTCTTACATTTTTTGAGTGCAATCAATGGTCAACCGAGAGAGCCAGCCTGCAAGCACATATTGGTGGCATGTGAACTCTGGAAAACGTAGTACCCTTACTACTAGCGTAGTACCCAGTTGTTCTCAAACTGGTTCGTGGAGTGGAGGCAAGTGGAGACAGTACTCCGTGCAAAAAAGATGCGTCTAGACGCAGATACAACAGCAGCGTCGTAAGTCGTAAAAGAAGTACTTGCGAGGAACATGAGAGAGGTAGACTAAAGAAAAGATGAATGGATCAAATAGTAGACAACTACTACATAACAATGTATGTGATTGGAGAACTGCCGGGTCAGAAAAATGGAGTGTATTGGTGATAGATTATAAGGATACGATAAAGGACTATAATAAGCCGAATGTAGACGCAGTAAATTGCATTTTAATTAGAATAAAATTGAGGCACGCATTTTTTTTGTCAGTAGCTAATTTTCTGTACATTTATTTCGTAAAAATATTATTTTATTCAAGAGTTTTTGGAGTCATTTTGCTTACGGTTAAAGTGTTGAAAATATTTTTTTTTATAGATATTGTATAGAAATATCATTGTATTGTATATTGTATTATTATTATTTTTATTGTATTTTTATTGTATATTGTATAGGAATATTATTTTTCCACTTTATTTTACTTTAAAAATAGGAACTGTGCTGTGCTTATTACACTGCATATACGCGTCTATGCGTAAGTATGAATGTATATAAATGTCGAGTTTACAGAGAAGGGAATTTATTATTTTTAATTTAATAGTAAACCAACCAAAATTAATGGACTTTAATATCCAAAAACTTAACATTCAATTAGTTAATTATTTTTAAGTTAGTTCAACTTTTCACAAATTTGATTTATTATTTTCAGTTTATAATTATTTTCATTTTTTGTTTCTAAATAGTATGTATTTTCTAATTCTACTCATTTAACAAAAAAAAAAAACTGTTTTCTAAAACTCCATTATATGAAATTAATATACTGAAGTCATGACCAAATTGGCTTAAAAGATAAAAGAAAATTTAGGTTAGTGGAAAGCGGTCATGAAGCGGAGAAAAAAGTACTACCGCACTC